CTTAGCTGAATTGGTCCTTTCTGTGCTAGGGTACCCCGAATTCCACTAGTAAACCAGAACCCTTTTCCTGATGTTGCTTTATTAAATAGGCATGGGGGGCAGCAAGGAGCATTCTGGGAATGGTACACTCTGCACATGCTCCACAGGCTGCATGCGACCATCCTTGGTGAAAACAGAATTCTGGGCCTGATAGGCCTTTGGTCTGATCTGCTGTTTTTAAGTGTGACTCATATTTCACCACTTTGCAATGCTAGTAGAGTATCTGTCCATTGTGTGGAAGCCTTCTGTCTGCCACAGGCAGCAAATAAATACACAAGATGTAAACCATACTTATATAAGCTAATAACACTTGTAAAAATAGCAAGTGCTTTAGCATACTCCTAAGTGGTACTGTTGAGGTCAAGAAGAACAGCTTGATTGCACACGATGTTGTGCTGGTAATGAGGCCAAACAACTGAATGCTCCTTTTCCCTGCTGCCAAAATACCACAACTGCTGGCATTAACAGGCAAGCAGGAGCAGCTCCAGGTGCCAGCACAGCAACAGTTACTGTTGCTATTTTGCCACAAGGACACACTGCTGTGTTAAACAGCAAACTCGTCCCAAAGAAACACCATTCTGCAGAAGAGAAGGTGGGGACAGGAGCAGCACTCTGAGAAGGCATGTGGCAGAATGCTAGACAGCTTACTGTGACTTACTCAGATCACCAGAAAGTCATCCTGTCTTTTGGCTTCTGTGCAAGGTTTGGGATTTCCTTGGCAGATAGCCCCAGCAGATGATTCTTTCCTCATCTCCAGCGTTTAGAATGCCATTTTACTCCATGCTGGCTTCTTTGTGTGACCAGTGAGCCAGGACCCTCCAAATGCAAGCTGAATTTATTTTGTTTCAGGCAACATGAGCTGGCTCGATCATTCATGTGCAACCCCACTGCAGAGCGATCTTTAGATTTCTTTTCACTGCTTACAGATGTTTCAACTAAACAGGGCTTGTTTGCCACCCTAGAGCAAGAAAGAACTTCAGTTTAGGTGAAATGTTGTGGCAACTCTTGCCCTACTTTATTAACAAGCACATTTCTTTCTACCTAAAACAGAAAATCAAACTGGGTTGCAATGAGTGGAACTGAAAAGATGGAGGAAGGCGAGACATCAGTCCAGTCCAAGGGGTTTGAAGGAACATGGAACAAGAGGCTCTCCATGGAGCCCTGCTTATTGAGTGTGTCCATTTCCCCCTTCTTTGCCAATGTTGCCACTCTCCATTTATTTGCCTCTCCCTCTAGGCAAAACAGACCACTTCCTAGAATGGGGGCAACACATGTGGAGGCTACTGCCCCTTCTCTTTCTTCCTCTCCCTGCTTGCTCATTTGAAGAAGGCTGATAGGCAGGCAAGGCAAAGCAAAGAACATCAAGGAAGGAAGAAGCAGGTTGGAGGCTCTAGGTAGGCGCAGGGAACTTCTGGCTGTGGTCTAATATGGCCCAGGGAGTTCGGAGTTTCTTCCCCAGGCTCTGCCCATTTCCCCTGCCTCAGCAGCAAGAACAAAGGGCTTACCTCTGATCTGACGTGGCCCTTCACTCTCTCCAGAGATTAGCAGTGGGCTTCATCAGGTGCCAGACAAATGCTGCCTCCTGATACTTTGCAGATCAGCCATAATGTCAACATCATGGCTCTTCTAAATCAATAACATAGGTGGATGTGCAGAACCGTCAAATCATGAGAGCCATAAAATGCATTCTAGCAGCAGGCAGGGAGAAGTTTTGGAAATGACCTTGCTCTGTAAGGGCACAGCATGGGTCAGGATTAGCCGAGCCATCAGCCAGGAGCCTCTTGGTCTTTGCGGTGGCGTCCCATGTGGCAAACCGTTCAGAGATGCCGAGCAGGAGAAGAATGGGCAGCCGCTTGCCAGATCCCAGCTTGGCTTCGCTCCACCACTGCCAGGCTTGCCAGCCCAACAAGGGGCCCAGCCTATTCATTTGCTCTTGCCACTGGAGCAGCCAGTTGGATTTTTGTTCAAAGGCCAGGATTTGGCAGCAAGGGCTGCCAAACTGTTTGGAGTCCCAAGACATTTGTGCTCACTGTGCCCACTTGAGGAACTGGGACATTGACCTCAGCCTGCCAGTCTGCACATGATGCTGCTCATGAAAAAAGGCAGGCAGTGAGCATATGATTGTTTCCTAGGCTTCCTTTGTAGCAGCTCCCACCAGCGGGCTGCATGGGTGCTGAAAACTTGGTAGTGGCAACTGTGAGAGCTGCCCTTGCACCCGCTTCCCGGCCCTGCACTGGCTTTTACCATGTTTAGAATGCAGCAGGTGCAGCTCAGGACCAGTCTCAGAAGCAAAGAGAAAGCTGCAGTCTTCCTCCCTAGACCTACCCCTGGCCTTCCTGGGTACCACTAGGAAACTGAAACTGCCATCCTCCACACAGCAAGCTCTTTGTTCCTCTATTCTTCCTGATGCATTCTGGGTCATCTGCAGTTAGACTCTGCCCTTGCTTGTGTGTCTCTGGCCGGTTTGCTCCCTCCATGGCTAGCTCCTGGTTTTGGAAGGCCCTTGACAAGTCACCCTCAATAGGCCCTGTCCCTTAGTGATTCTATTTTCACAGCCTCACCATCACCAGTTGCTGTTGCTCCTGAACCCAAACTTTAGTCGAAGTTGGTACATTTCTGAGCTTGTGCTGCAATCTGTAGAAATGTGTTTGAACCACGTATTCATATGAAAATGAATATTTTGAAAAATGTATGCAAACACACTGTAATAAATGGGCACCCAATGCAAAGTGGAAGGGGTGCCAGAAGGAATTTCACCTCCTCTTCCTTCTGCTCTCCAATTTGCTAGTCAGGCTTGTTCACCTGTCTGCTGATGGCACTTCAGAGGGGAGGGGAGGAGACTGGCAGAAGGTCAGGATAACGTGCACACCAGCCTCACCAGTAACCTCCCCTTCCTTCCCTGCAGGCTACCCCCTTTGACCTGATGCCACTTTCCTCACCTTGCTGAGAGTGGCCGGCGTGCTTCTTGCCATGCAGGATGCAAAGGGGTGAGGCAGTGGGAACGGAGCTCTGATTCCCAGTTCTGAGGTTGGAGTGTAGTCCCAGGAAATCTGAAAAATCCTATGGCCCCTCAAATAATGTCTCATAGGACTGCACCTTTAAAATGAAATGATATCTCAAAATTGACTCTGCTTCAAAGGTTTTTCAGGTATTGGCACCATCTCTTTCCCCCCTCAGCTATGAAAAGAGCACCAAAGTACTTCCAGGAAAGGCTTTTATTGCAAAATTGCTCTAGCTCATTCTGAGAATTTTATGGGAGTGCGGTGTGATGCAGATGACTTCTACCATTTACCAGGAATGGGGCCCTCAACCAAAAAAAGGACTGTCTGAGACTGACAAAGCTGGAGGAGTCGCAGCTCAGTGGGAGGGTACATAATTTGCAACAAGAAGGTCCCAGGTTTGATGCTTGGCTTCTCCAGCTAAAGCTGGGCCAGAGCAGGGCTGGGACTGACCTTTGTGTGGAAGTAGCAGTGATGCAGCGCAGACTATACTGAGGTGACGGTGGTAGAAGGCAGCTGCATCGCTTTGCTGTTCTTCACTAGGAACAAGGGAATAGAATTCTCAGCTTTATGTGCTTGAAGTTATAGAAACAGGTCTGCACTGATAATTTGCCTCAATTATCTACTTTCTCATTATGCTTTGCGTATTTGTTTTATGGAGTAAGCTGTAGGTGCTTCTATAACCAGAGACTTAGTGTGCCATCTATGTAGGTTAAAGCAGAAAAAGTATTATGACTCACAGCATTTCCCTGGAAATGCTAGGGATTTTTTTCTGCATAAACTTTTCTAGAATGGTGCTTTTATGGCGTTGGAGAAGTAGATATGGCTAAATGACTTTTGATATTATTTTTAGTAGACAAACTAGAACTGTTATGATTCCAAAGACAGTTCAGAGGGTAAGACCATGTATTTATAATATTAATAACCACTCTGAGAATGGCACTAAAAGTAGGACACCTTTCTTTGTAAATGCAATGGATTTTTTTCAAGAAATTTACTTGTTTCTGAGTCTTGCAACATCTTTAACTTTGTTTTTCCCCTTTCCTTTTGGAAGGACAGTAGCATGAGGATCTCTCTGGGGCTGTATAGCTGGCTAGAATGGGTAATGTTTTAGCCAAAGAACCAGATGTTACTTTGGAGCTTTGTGGCTTAGCATGGCTATTTTATTTTATAAGAAGGTGCTATTTTTGTCTTACCAAGCAAATTTAATGGTTCTAGGTTTGAGGGTGGAAGGAAGGCAGCTTAAATTTCTTTTTAATTCTGTATTTCTTGGCCTGCTGTATCAGGTTTAAAAGACTGCAAGATCCAAAGATTATTCCTTTCTATTGGCTGCCTTTTTATTCTTTTGATGCTTTTCAAGGAGCGCATCTGTTTAAATAGAAATCTTGTCCTAATGCGGCAACAATGAATGTAAGGATTATGGAGATGATAGCATCTTAGTTCCTGTAGCTGGACCATTCAAACATCCAGGTGTTTCCTTAATCTTTCCAGGGTTAGCCTTAAACACTATAAAGCTACTCAGGACCACACAGTTTCCCAAAAAGGTAGAGGGTCAGATAGACAACTAAACAGCTTCTTTTCAACAGTAATGATTTATGCAAACAAACAAACAAACCAACCAACCAACCAATAGTATTATAGCAACTCTTCAGTTGGAAAAGCTGATTCTTTTGACAGGGCAGATTAAGATGCCTGAACAGAGTTTGCCCCAAAATCATTCCAGTGTAGTATTGTCAGCTATAATGGACAGCAGGCCTAGAATCCAGCTGTCTATATCTTAGGCTGAATCTCTTTGGCTGTACTAACGAAACCTGTGCTTAGAGCCACTCCTTCCCAAATAAGCCGGTTTTTAGCCAGGTAGCATTGCAACAGATCTGCAAAACCTCCTTCACCAGAAGTTTGAAAGAAATGAATGTGGATAACTGGGCATAACAATCAATGCATCTGTCATTCTATTTTCAGCTCTCTTAATAATATCGATGATAATCCTGTGGAGCTGCTGTGGGGATTGCTATGGCATGTTCCAAGGAGATGAGAAGATGGCAACAAGGGAGAGTGCCTTTTCAGTGGTGGCCCTCAATTATAGAACATCTCCTCAGTGAGGCCTGCTGGGTGTCAACCTCGTCAACGTTCTGGAAATAGGTTAAGACTTTTCTCTACTCCCAAGATTTGACAGCATATGGCATCATATTGACATATTATTAATATGTTAACACTAATATTATTAATTAGCTGTTGTTGTTGTTACATGTAACTGGTTTTATATTGTGTTATTATATTGCATTTTAGGGTTTTGATCTGCCCAAACAACTTTGGCTATTGGATGGTATAGAATTGCAATAAATGAACAAATGCACATTTGTACATAGAGCACTTGCATTAGTGATGTTTAAAAAGTGTTTTTATTACAGTTCAAAGGTTCTGACAGCTGCAACCTCACAGAAGCTAAACAGGTCTGGGTCTGATGGAATTTCTCTATGCAGGCAGCCTTCGTTTTAATTACAGAAGAAAGGTGGGATACAAATGAAATAAATACTGATAAGAGGACCTCTTTAGAAGTATTGCTTGTCTCCAACCCATCATATTATAAGTGGAAATAAAGCTATCTGAGCTAAGACATCATGCATGTCCCACAACTGCTTGTCCCTACTAGAATGAGGGCAAAGACTTTATATCATTTCCCTCCCACCCCTTCTAGTTTTGGCTAGAAAACTGGAGCTAACGATAGCCTAGGGTGCTTCCAGATGGAATTTATCATGCCACCATCCTGTCTTATTCATGGAAGTTTACAAAGGATCCAGACAACAACATCTTTCACTGGTAACCCTCCCATTGTTTTTCACTGCTTTTTCTATCTGTTAATGCCATGAATCTCCATTACTGAAGTGGAGGTCATATTGCTTTCTCTGGCGAAATATGGTTGTCTCAGACAGCCATGTGACTCTTATATTAATAAAATATAATCTGGATGTGACATGCTTACATAAGATCATTTTATTGGTTTATACAAACTACTTATTGCTGTTGACCTAGAAGACAACCATTAGACATTTTGTCTTGTTTTTCAAAATTAATGGATGTGTTTGGTTAAAATGTGTTTGTTGTTTGGATCTCTGCTACTAAATCTAGAATAAGAAGTAGCTGAGGGCTTCTTCCCAGATTATTGGATACTGAAATGAATTCCCAGTGCAAATTAGGCTTTTCCATATACTCTGACATTCCATCTGGAAGTCACCACCCCATAATTATATCTGGGCGGTATCTCACTGAATGAGGCCCCAACTTAGTAGTCTTTCAGGCACTACCACAGCATAAATGCAGAGCGTCACCAACATCCTCATCTCCTCATCATATATCTTTCTAAACCGTACAGCTTCCTACATAAGCAGGAGACTAATCCCTGATCTCGCATGCTATCATTTTCCTCTCTGGAGCTTTAGGGATGAAAACACTAGCAATTATCTTAGCAGCAAATGCTATTAGTGGAAATAAAACTATGAAATGCTTGGCTAAATCCAGCCACAAAGCTTGACTTGGTGACCTTCTGCTGCATCAAAATCTTTGGGATGATTTGTAGGTTAAGCCTCTTTCATGAGCAGTTTCCTCCCGTTGTTGCAATTTTCTCTCTTCCCATTGCAGCATGTGCCCTTCTGTGCCCTGACTGGAAGGATTAAGAGAAACGAATCGTTTATGCTTCAACTGCCAGTGGCAAGCAGATGCCCGCTAGACCACTTCTGCGTGCTCCAGCACCAGTACAAAAGTGCCAGAGTTAAACAACACTGGAGAACATCCAAAGTAAACCAAGGGAAAAAGGCAAAATCTCTCTCTCTCTCTCTCTCTCTCTGTGTGTGTGTGTGTGTGTGTGTGTGTGTGTGTGTGTGTGTGTGTGCGCTTTTATGCCTTGAAGTAGGCCAATACACCCCAACCCTTTATCATATGTCTAAGCCTTCTTCAAGGGTTAATATCCAAAACTAGCCTGCAGAGATTTCTGAAAAATGTCTCAAGGATTATTCATCTTCATGCTGTTCTCGGAAATCTTTGCAGGCCATTTTTAGAACTTTAGCCCTGACAAAGGCCCAGATATATTGTAAAGGACCAACATGTCAAGCAAGTGAGCAAATGGAAAGAATGAAGAGGCAGCAGATGGGGGGCTAGGGCAGCTGGTGAGCAGACAGGCGCACTGAGGAAGCAGGACCTTGGAGAATGCCTTGCCAAGGACCTTCCAAACCCAGAGGGCAGCACTGCCCCCGTGCCATTAACTGCTGTGTGGCACACACGAGATGAACAAGAGGAGCTTTGCCTCATCATTTTAAATTCATGCTATGCAAACCTTCACCCACTTAGTTCCTTCATGTCAAGACTGCTGTTGTTAAATGAATGGGGCAGTTACAAACTTGGCAAATTATCACATAGCCCAGTATCTGAGCCATGGTTTCTTTTTGTTGCAATAGGATCTTGCTGCAGCAAAAGCTAAGCATAGGTCACTCTTCCCTGTCACCAGACTGGCTTCCCCTTAAATTGCAGGCTGGACAGTTTCAAAGCAGTAAACGTCCTGGTTGCTCCGACCAATAAGCGAGTCTGACTGAGATATTGTCACAGCACAGCTCTGCTCTGGTCTATTGGTTAAGAGGTTTCCTTCCCGGTGTTAATCTCCCCATAGTTCCTGTAAAAGGGCAAGGTTCACTCATATGAAGTCAGTCCAAAGAAGAAGCAATTGTAACTACTCCCAAACACAGTGATGCGGACAGAACTTCTGTGGAGACCCTCTCTCGGTCTGCTCCTGACTCTAACTCCAACTCATCTCCACACAACCCTCCCCATGTTCCCGCTAAGGAAGTGTCACTAAATTACCACAAACAGTTCAGTTCTCCTCTTCATCCATCATTTTTCAGTGGTTCTTCTGTGTGTCTTGCTCAGCAATCTGACATAGAGAAATCAGATAAGTGCTGTAGTGCCAAAAGGAGCTTTTTTTTCTTGCGAATTACGGTGCCAGAGGCGGGCAATTTCCTAAAGAAGGCTACCTCAGGGGCAAGGGCTTGTTGCACCCTCCCCATGCGCCGTGGTCCTGATGGAGATGCAGCCTCCAGCGCCTAGCATTTTCATTTAAAATTCTACAAATGTAGCTACAAATATAACTAGTGCTAGGCAAACTTACCCCAAGTAAGTTTGTCTGTTTTATTTAGAAAGTAACAAATTTATTCACATGAGCTCAAAGGACAGTTTGCCTTTAATATGAGCTCATATTCCATGCATATGAGATTTTTCACTTTTAGTACTTTCAAAGTACCTCTTGGCAGCTTGATATCCTGCGCCAACACGTTACAACCCCCCTTTCTACCTGGATGCTTTTGCGTGACCTGCCTGCACGTCATGTTGCCCATTGTTAGCATGTAGAAGAGAGAAGAAGGTGGACACATGCCCCACCTTGCAGGGTCAGATCTGCAGCAATGGCAAGGACTACGGAAGGAGGGAAGAAAACACCAGCTCAATCAAGGGTTAAGTCAATGAACTTAGCATATGTGCAGAAATGCCATTTTTTGATGCAGACTGTGCATGCTCTGAGGTTCACAAGCAGTTCCTAACTTTCTAACAAATTCATAGTACAGACTCCCTATGAGGTGAGCAATACAGAAGGATGAGTTTCAACCAATGAACCAACTAATTTCAAAATGTGACAGCTTCATGAAATATAACATGCTTCTAGTCCGTCTGATTTATGTACTATGCAGATTGAAATATTTTCCTCACCAGATTTGTAAAAATGTTTCTCATGAACCCAGCAAGGCTATCAATTCAATCAAATAAAGGAATAGATGAGTTCCCACTTGTACCATATGGTCATGGTAGAATGTAGAAGAGAAAATCAAGCAGAAATAAGAGGCAAGAGCACTAAATGAACGGTGATGTAACATATCTCACAAAGGCGATAGAACAATAAAGCCCTTTTCCTGGAAGCTTTTCACACTTGTGAATGCTAGCATAGCAGTGAACTTGAGGGTACATTAAATTCAGCCATTGGAACAGACTGAGATGGATTTGCGTCTCCATAAACAGGCTGCCTTTATTTATACCAAGTGTGAATGTTAATAGGAACTGCCAGAAATGTTTGCATTTGATTTTCTATTAACATGTGCAATGCATTCCCCTTTTGATTTGAATCAAAATGTTAAATTCATGCCTGAGCAACATAGTAGTCTAGAAACATACAGGATCCCTTGGGCTAGATGTTTTTGATTTTTAGAAGAAGCCGAGGTGTTTTTTTCTTCCTTTTTCTATTTTTAAATCCAGCATCTTACACACCATGTGTTTCCCTGAGAGTAGCAAATATGAGAAAGTGATATCAGGGTCCCCATTCTTTTTATTATTTTAGTGCCAGCTGTCAAATATCTGTACATTTTCATCACACATACAAGCCTCCTTAGATAAAGCATGCCCTCTATGTATGGGAATCAGTGAGAATTACATTTCAGTTTAGTTTTGATAAGGATTTGCCAACACTTACAATGTTTACCTTTTGGGGACAAAAGGACTTGAGATTTGAAGCATCAGAATGTGATAGAAACTGAAACAGGCCAATTTGCCCATCCAGCTCCACAGTTTTCAGTGCTTAGTCCTCCAAAGTCTGGGTCTGAATCCTTGTGCAGGGCCACCTCTTAATGCTATGGCTGCCTTTCCCCCTCACCACATCTTGTGGCTTCCTGGCATGAGCCTGAAGGCCACAGGATTATTTTAAGCCCCAGCTATGAGTTCTTGCCTCCTCAGAGCCGGGACTCAGAAGGCCAAGCCTCTGTCCCGCACTCCCTTGAGCTGGACTGGAAAAGGGGGGCATGTTGGGGGACAGGAGGGAGGAAGTTGGGACTTAGGCTGATTCTTACCAGCATCTCAACCTCCTTCCATTCCCCTCCCCGGCACTTTATCTAGAAGTCCAAAAGCAGCCATTTAGAAAAATTAAAAAATCAGGGTGTGAGGTGTGGTGATGGCAGAGATCATGGCTACCACACATCATTCGGGGCACAGGATGGCCATAAGTCTCTGAGTTTGGAGGCTACCTGCACTGAGGTGGGGGTGGTGGACAAGCTGGGCCTGTTCTACCTTAATAGGTCCAGCTACATGACAGGCAGGTATATCATGGCCATCTCCATTCTGGAAATGATTGTGCCTAATGAATTTGACTGGATGGGTGAAAATTTTGCTTCCATTTCTGTTTGATATTTTGGAAATATACAGACTGGAAACTGGGGAACACTCTGTGAAAGATATTATTTATTTATTTATTTATTTATTTATTTATTTATTTA